GTCCTAGTGACGCCACTGATATAAGCTACAAAAGCACAAACACACAAATACACACACACTCACATATATATATATATATATATATATATATATATATATATATATATATATATTGTATATATTGTATATATTGTATATATTGTATATATTGTATATATTGTATATTGTATATATTGTATATATTGTATATATTGTATATATTGTATACATTGTATATGTATAGGCCTATATGAGAAAAGATGTGTTGCGTTATTTTATAGATTGCTGTATTATTGATCGGCGACAGCTTGAAGATATCTGAATTAGCAATCTTGTATGATGTAATTCATAATAATATTTGTAACGTGAAACTCATAGCTTAAAGGGATGCACACACACAAACACACACACATACAATCACACGCAAACACACTAGCTTCTATAAATTAAAACACACCAACACATTTTGTTGCGCCTAAAAATTTGATGGTTAATTGGTGCATCGAAAAGAGTTTTTTTTTTACATTATCTTGAACATACATTGTGTGTCATGTGGGAGGATCTTGACCATACTTTGTGTGTGTGTGTGTGTGTGTGTATACGTGCGTGCGTATATGTGTGTGTGTGTCATGTCATAGGATTTTGACTATCCTTTTCGAAAAGGTTCACAGTGTTTAAAAATTTGATTACAATATACTACGATGGATATTACACATTAACAAATAGAAAGAAGGTTTATAAAGCTCCACATCTTAGTCGTAAAAATCAGCATTAGCAACTCCTTGTTGATTACTTAAGACGCCATCTTGAGGTCACTTTTGATTCGCATCTGCACGACACGTCTGACGACACTTGGCTGTGGACGTACAGAGGACGTCATTTTATGCCTTTCATCTGCTTTGTTGAGAGTCTGTATAATCCAGTCAATGACAGGAAGGAACAGAGTTTCTTCCAGGCATCTCTTCGGAGGGGCGGAGCCCCCCCCCCCCCCGAAAAAAGTCTTCCGCCCCCCCCCCCGAACGAAATGGAATTTATATAGAAAATATATAACAGTATCCACCACCCCCCCCCCCCCCCCCCGAAAATTTCAAGTACCCCCCCCCCCCCCCCCGGTGAAAAAAGTCTGGAAGAAACACTGGGGAGGAAGAACGATAACTGAAGAACTATCGCATTTCTTTGCTTTGAACCCGATGGCCGTTAATCCGAATCGTAGGCACTAGGCAGATGTTGTTGGGGGTACAATCCCCACCACTACGGATCACCCACCATGGATTTCGCCCCCCCCCCCCACACACACCACCACCACCACCTATAGACCACCCCCGAAATGAAATTTCAAGATTTTTAATGTCATTTAAAAACAACAATGTTACGCACTTAAAATCTTTAACAAAACTTTTGAACGCTTCCACAACCAATACCTACCGATTGTAAACAACGGTAACAGCATGACATACCATCGTAGATTTTAAATTGTTTGACCTCTTTCTAGGATGTCATTGATTCGAAGCACGTTCAAAATATCACGTGTGTTGGATATAAAAACACATTGTATATAATCTATGAAATCAATGCACAATATTTTCTAAAAACGGATGCAAAAGGGGGATTTTAATAAGATTTGAGCAAGATCTACTGTGTCTGCCAATATATATTTTAGACTTAGGACCGTCATAGTGTATCTGAAAAGCTGTAGCCGTAGTGTCAAATTATTCTCTACTTGTCTTCCTTATTAGGGGTCATACATTTTACGGTGTCCACAGACATGTATCTTTGACCATTTTTCACCCATGTCCACAAACGTCCATTTTCAACGAATAGTTGTGCTCAGAGGCGTAGCGGGGGGGGGGGGGGGCGGGGGGCGGACCGCACCGGTTGACACCATTTAGGGGGGTGACACCAAGGCAAAAAATAGCAAAATATATAGAGAAAAACTTGAGGGGGGCGGTGGTGCAAATCGAAAGTTCGAGGGGGTGCAAATCGAAAGTTCGGGGGGGGGGGTGCAAATCGAAAGTTTGAGGGGGGGGGGTGCAAATCGAAAATTTGAATGTTTGTCCCCGGGAAGGGTCGCTACGCCTCTGGGGGGGGGGGTGACACCATTAAGTGCCGTACCGGTTGACAGCCGACCTCGCTACGCCACTGGTTGTGCTATAATTCTAGATACTGTGACGAGCGATGCTATTTAAACCCTTGCATTCAGGATAAATGAAGTCGTGTGCTTGTTATAAAGTTTAAAAATTAAAGTTAAATTATAACAGACAAGTCCACAAGAGTCGATTTTTTCAGAGCTAGTATTAATATAATACACACTTAAGGCTGCTATTTTCTCCACACAAAAAATACTGTACGAATAGAAGCAGGTGTACTTGGTTGAAAAAGTATATATACATACATCTATATATCAGTGGCAAAGGCAGGGGGCATTGAGGGGGAAGGGGGACAATTTTCAATACTTTAAAAGTAAAAAACAAATAACCTCGAATTTCACGTTCTTACAAGTTCTACAATTAACTATAAATATCAGACTTTCTCCTTAATAATAGCCATTTTCGTTTTTGTGTTACACCCTAAGACTGTTTCATTCGGTTTTGTTCGATCCCTACCCACATACACCCATTCGGCGCCCGGGGTGAGCTATCAATTTTGAGCCCCCCCCCCCCCCCCCCCCCCAATATATTTATTGCAAGTCACACTGGCGAAAAAGCGCCCCCCTCTTTCAATTCGGAAAGGTCGGGGGCGCTTTTTATCAGACACTGTCCCTTGTTATTTTTTAAATTTATTTTGGTACCACGCTACTGATACTTTACAAAGATCAGTTTAACAAGTTCGCAAAGCCTAGTAGCAGTCTATTTACTGAACTTCCACTGTGTCATTTAGTTATGCTCTTAATTTTTTTCATACACCGTTAGGCGCCCCTCTCAGTTCGGCCCCAGGGGTGGCCGCCCCACCCACCCTCCCTTAGCAACGACACTGGTCAATACACATATAAAACGGTTGTTAAGTAGGCCTTGGGCCTACTTCATTAGATCACAGCAGAAAATAAATGTATACTAAACTACTTATTTTAAAATTTAAAGATTACTTAGGTGTGCTCACTGTAAATTATTCAGGCCATCATTTTAGCATTATCCGACCAGCAGGGTTTTTTTAATTTGTATGCAAAACATTCCTGGTACATGAATGGAAACCATTTAGCGCGTAGGTGTCGGGCCAACAGCGAATCATTTCATCGCTTCTCTGAACGGGTGCCAAAACACGCTGCATAACCTTGAAAAATACGAGAATCGTTGCGCGCCCTTCCAGGCTGTTGAATTGTCGATATGGTAACAGCTTGGACGATTCAAACGATACGTGGAAACGAAATGTGGGTTTTTTTTTTGCCTGTTTTATGCATGCTTTCGATACAACGACTGTCACTTATGCAATGAGGGCAACCATGCATGATCCTGTATCAATGCTGAAAATTTCAGCCTGTTATTCTTTAATCTTTTCATCGAGTGGAATAACTAAAATTGGAGGCCATTCTTTTTGCTTTGTATTCAATATAATTTATAAACAGAGTTTCTTTCAGGCAACTCTTCCGGGATTGGGGGTGGGCAGTGCCCATCTACCGCCCCCCCCCCCCTCTCGCTTAGGAAAAAACAGAAAAAAAAATATAGGCCTATTTAATTTATACAGTAACGTTTCTATTTGAAGTATTTCCCCCTCCCTCCCCCACCACCCGGAGAAAAAAAAATTCTGAAATAAACACTGAATATTTAATAATTTTCTGTACGTTTAGGTTAGCTTCTTCACTGTCACCTAATATTGTAGGCTACATCTCAAAAGTTGTGCCATGCAATACTTAAAACTTTCATTATTTGTTCCGCAGGCTGTTGCTTTAAAAAAATCCATACAACAAAACAACCTTGGTTCACGGACCGCTAAAGTTGTATTTCTGACGCAGACGGATAGACCCTATGCAACTGGGGTCCTCCCAATTCGTTCCTTAAACGTAAACGCGACCAGCCGCAGGAATGTGAAACACGCATGACGTCACCAGGCAGACGATAGCGAGGTTTCTGTTTCAAAAGGAAAATGAAAAAAGTTTTGATATCATTTTATATCCCATTCATAAGACCCGGGTGGAGTTATTTTAGGAGATCATCACAACACGCACCGGAGAGAAAAACATTTTTTTTTAAAACATGGTGGCGCTACAGATGTTAAAAATAACGCCAGCAGGCCTACATAATTAATGTTAATTAAAATGTAGTTTAATAAATGGGTCTACAATAGTTGAAAGGATGGGATTTTTTTAGGGCGTTACATACCAGGGTTTCTTTCAGACGTTTGTCTCCACTGTTTAAACTATGTATATTTAAATATTTTCTATATAAATGTATATATTTCTTCACTTTGACCGGAATGGGTGGGGCGAAGAGATGCTTGAAAGAAACTGTTAACGTACACAGTGCGACTGTGTAAACTATTTTCTCAATGTTAACAAAGCTTTTAGCATTTTTATGTTTGAGGATACACACACACACACACAAGTAAGCAGTAGCCCTACTCAGTTTCAACCGGCTAACACTAACGTTAGAAAATAGGTTTATCATTTAGCTGTAATTATTTTACAAGAGATTAGTCATTTCTATTGTCTGAGTAAAAATAATTGAAAAATTGATTGCTCGTCATAATTTAAGGGTAAAAACTGTAGACCTTCGTCAAATTCTACACACATCTATAAACAAAGCAACGAATGAGAGAATTGGTATTGCTGACCCAGACAGTGGCAGTAATTGGCTACAAAATTATCATTTTGGGGGGTCAATGTTGGGTGGATGCATGATGAGAATTTTTGTCAAAACAAATCTCCAAAATGAGTTAATTTTTTAACGTATTCAAATCAGTATATTTCTAATTGGCTTTTAATTATGCAGCACACATATATTTTAATGTGAAATGAAAGCACACATTTTCATTTCACTGCATTAACTACCAGAAACTTGAAAGAACAAAGATCATTTTAATTTTTTCAATTTATTGATGTGTCAGTGGAAAAAGCCACCCTTTTAAACTTGTTTTAAGCATAATAAAATCACATAGTCAATAATATTTCTTACTAAGTATAGGTACAAAATATTCATAAATCATTAAATAATAAAATAAATTAAATAAAAGAAAAAGCTTTGAAGTTTTTCTCAAAGTAGATCCAAAATTGAAATTAAACTATAGCAATTTCAGCATCTAACGTGTTAATACAATCTTGCAGTTTGGAAATGAAACTTGTTGAGTAAAACAAAATGCTGCGTGCATTTGGAAAAAAAAAAGAAATAAAAAGAAATGTTTAAAACATAATAATGCCAAAGGTTTTATAAAAAAAAATATTAGTTTTTGGATTAATAAATGTAAACTAGTCAATGTGGAAAAAGAACATTTTCTTCAGTGAAATTCAGGGCATGCTAAAAAATACACACAAAAATACACAAGAGCAATACAGTTACCCAATTTTTTAAATTCTAAATTTGATAACAGTGGCAACAGTTTTGAAAGCCTACTGCACCAACTCCATAGTTACAAACTAGAAATGAATTCTGTGTTGTGCAATGCCTACATCTCTTTCACAGTTCCGAGAAGAGGGTAAAAGCAAGCCCACACTCAGGAAAACAATGCATCTTACAGAAAAAAGACAACTAACAAACAATTCTGCATAATATTGTCTACTGCATACATCGTTAGTTGTAGGATATATTACAGTTATGCTTATGTATTATGGAATATAACCAACAGTTAGTAATAGGGGAAATAAATAACAAGATATGAAGCACTTATAAACAATACATTCTTGTGACTATAAAGAGATACCTGGCTAAAAAAACTTTACAAATATCGCATTTTGAAAACCAACAATGGAAGATACATCAGTATAATAATTTTGATTTAAAACTAACGGCAACAAAAGTTAAAAAACTGAGGAAAGCAAACGACTCCAAACCAAAGTTTTTGTGTGAGGAGGAACCTGTTCAACAAATAACAGGAGGACAAATCAACTACTTGTAGAAATGATTTTATTCACAGCTAGACAGAGACTAGATGTTAGCTTTTGGCTCCTCTGTAGCTAGTAGAGGCACCGCTGCAACAGGCTCCATCGGAGGAGGTGGAGGGGCGGCTGGAGGGGCCACTAACTCTCTTCTTCAATGTGTCTAAATATTCCTGCTGGGACTGGGCAATGACTTGGGCCAGTATGTCCTCCTCACCCCAGTCTGATAGACCTGGATATAATCAAAACCACATTAGTCAAATCCATGCAAATATAAAATATAAGCAATCATAATAAAACAGATATGTGGTACGTTATAGTTTAAGTCTTTTAAGGGGATGTGCGCATAAGAAAAAAATCACCAAAATCCTGATTTTTTGTAAGTGTTTCTCGCAACATTAATGAGAATTTTTTTATAATGTGTTTAAAAAACCTTTTTTATGACCCCATTAATTAATAAACCGGGAGGGATCTCCCCTAAACTTTCTCGAATATTCTTATATAATACTACGGGGGATGGCAACGTGGGATATAGACGTTATTTCTAATCCATGTTTAATTACTTAAACTTTTAAAAATAGAATAGAATCTTGTAGAAAAAAAGAATATCGCACCAAGCGAATGACAAACAATATGTATATAATAGTGCAGAATATTATTAGTACTTTATAAATTCATTTTTCTTTTTTGAGAAATTGGAAATAACGTAAGTTACTACTCCCGGTCAACGGAAATTACTCAAAATTTGATAGAAGACAGAAAATTAGCTCTTTTACTTATATGTGAAATGTCGTTTATCTATCTGAAACAATACTCAAGTTACAGGCTTTTGAAAAATTGAAAGTAGAATAAGTTCCACTTCCTGTTATCCAAAATGGCTCAAAAGTTCATACAGAACTACAAATTTGATATAATACTTATATATGAAATTTCATCAACCTAGCTGTAACGGTACTCAAGTTATCGTGTTTACAGACATACATCCACACAGAAAATTGCAAAGCCCAGTTTTTCCGACTCGATTACGCAAAAAATGCCGAAATTTTGATAAATCTGCATTTATTGTTTTTGCCCGATTAAAATAAGTCCCCTATTCTCTGTAGATGATGAAGTACTGAGGTGTAAAACGATGAAAACAGTCAAAATTTCATGTGATTTTTGTGCATGATTACGATATTTTGTCTATATTTTGCGAATCCTCAAGTCTAGAGCTGGAATTTGTGTTCAAGTTAGCAGAATGTCCCCGAGTTCACTCAACTCTGAATAATACTTAACTCAAGTTAGTGAAAGTAAATGCGGCTGAGCATACTATCCCTTTAAATGCAGAGATCACAGAAAAAGGTGAACTCTACTTCACTTGCCCCATGAACCGTCAGGTTTGAAAAGGGAACTTAAAAAGTAAGTAAAGTTCCCTTTTCAAACCTGATGGATAAACATCCCCTGAGGGAGGGGGCAACTAAAAACTTTGCACAATTAACAGAGGAAAAAAGGTATTATTGAGTATTTTAAATTACTGATTCATCAGTCAAGTCTATATATATGTGTGTGTATATGAGGGGTGGCAATATATGAGGTGCTGCACCGGTAGACCCCAACGTAGTGACGCCATTGGTTCTTGGTTGTGGTACTGAAGGGGATTTTCTCTAACACTATTAGGTATTACAAGTTAATATGCTATGCAAAATATAGCCAGACTTCAGCCTGCTTTTCTTTCTTGATTTGCTTCCAAAGCCTTTGTCCACGTAAAGAAGAATCTGCTAGGCAGCAGTGTTTTATTTTGGAGTCTCTTCTCCTACATGAGTTGCTGTCCTAAGTTAATGAGCATCATCTGCCCAGGGATCCAATCTCTGGATTTTTTTTTAGTTTGGAGTCTGATGCTCTTCTTCCTGACCAAGTCGGCCCCCAAATTTTACTTATTAAATTATTACACCTTTACCAAACAAATTCTACTATATTTTACCACTAAACCTTGAATATAAATATTACACTACAAATTATATAAGATTTTAATTATAAAAATTCTACTATATTTTCCAAATAAACTATGCTATGATATACCACATAAATTCTACAATATTTTTACCAAATAATGTTGGTGGCAAATGGTCCATGATTGTGGAAGAATTAACGCTTGCTCCTCCTTCTGCCAGACCTGTGTCATTGCTTGAACTTTGAGGTGGACTTTGACGTGGGGATTTAGAAGACCCTGAAAACACAGTTTAAACATAATATCAAGTTCTAAAGCAATTTTTTTTAAATTACTAAAAACAAATTTTGACAGATTAAGAAAATCTAAAATTTAATGTGTCACTTTTTTTTTTTAAATATAGAGGAACTATAATAAGATTATTCAATGCACACTCCAAGAAATTATCTGTTTAGACATTGTAATGTAATATGAATACACTAAAAATATAAGTCAAGTCAAAAAAGATTCTGCAGACCAGAAGGCCCATATTGCAAATAAGAGTAAGAGGCAAAGATAGCGTAGCATACTTTTTAAAAAAAAATTGTTTGATCATGGACTGGGGGTGGTGTCTATTTCACTCACCAGGCAAAGAAATAAACTGGTCATCAGCCTGTTGAGGGCTACTGTTTCCACTACGTAACTGTCTGGGAGATCTCATGGGTCCAGCATCAACACAACTGTTATGAGTGACATCACTTGTTGAGCTGCATGTTGCACTGGCTGTTCTAGTCTAAAAGTAAGGAGAAAAATGTGTATTGAAATCTGCACAGATTCTAAAAATAAAAAGAATTTTTTTTTCTAAATCCTAAAAAAATAAGAATTTAAAAAATCTAAATACAGATGAAAAAAAAATTAAACCTACAGATGTTCCCTTTGTTCTGCGTGAAGCTTTTTCCTGCTCTCTCAGCCACTGAAGGTAAGATTCTCTAGCTACTTGTTCCTCTATAGAGTCCTGTGTTACTTCCCAATCTGTTTCTCTCAATTTATCCTCCAACATAGTCTGTTTATATAAAAAAAAAGACTCAGCAATTATAGAGACATATATTTAACATTTTAATGTACTAGTTTGATTTGTTTTAAAAAATAAGACAAGAAGCTTCATAGAAAGTAAATGCTACGATCCAATTACCTGCTCTATGTGGAAATTCTCAGAACTTTTTATTGCATCATGCATCAGATTTCGCTCTGCCAACTATCAAAATATAAAATTTTCATTAGACATTATAAAATAAGAACATTAAGAATAGACGGATTATTCATTAAAATACTCATTGCCTAAAAGAATCAAAGCATTAATAACAGTGATGTAGGCAGGAACTGGCCATGAAGGTAGGCAACTTGGGTTGCAAAATTAAATGGCATGTTACAGCACTGTTAGCTGCAAAATTTAATGCTTAGAGCCCTAGATATCTAGAAAGTGTAGCAAGTAAGGATTCAGGACCAGAATAAAACATCAGAAGTTGCATCAGCAAGGCAAGGTATGCATTCAAGACCCTCAACATAATGTGGATGTCATGAACAACTGCCTAGTATTCAAGACATGACTGGTAAACAGCAAAGTGAAATCTGTTCTCCTCTGTGGTTCTAGATTAAGTCCAGAGCTTTGTTACTGGATGCCTGCAATGTATATTGCACATCAAGTGGTCTGATAAAATTACAAGCACAAATTTATGGGGGAAAACACACAAAATGTTATTGGCCAAGAAACACAAAAGAGAAACCAAGAATGGATTAGATTGCTTGTGCAAACAACTGAATTATCTGACAGGTGTTTCAATGAAACCCAAGGAAAAAAAGGAAAGTAGTTAGTATCAGTGAAGCACAAGCAGTCAGAATGTACCCAGCTTAGGGAAATCAACCAAACAATATGCTGAAGAGGTGTGGTTGCATCCATATGCTTTATAGGAATGACAATGAATACAGTAAACAGTTTACTTTTGTACTTTTTTGAGAGGACACAAATTCAAGATGTTGTGGTTTTGCATGAATAAACATATAATTAACAAACTAAAGACCCATATAAAATACAAGCTAGTCTTAAAGAGTAAGACATCAATTAGTTAATTCAAAGTAACCAGCCAATAAAATAGCAACACTTTTATAAGAAATGTAAAAATAAACTAGGTAAAAATATCTTTATGCATAGATTACTAATACAACAAAACCCTATAAGAGTAAAACTTGATTTTTAATTACCCCTGGCTGAAGTCCAGGCAATCCCAATCCAACACCTATAGAAGCTGAATAAGGGTCTACTATAGAGTTGTAGTGAACATTACCATGGTAGCTGAGGCGAATGGGAGGGTTGTCTGTTTTATAAGCTGTGTCAAACGTGTTCATTGGATCTGTTCAATGCAAAGTTAAACATAAAGTACACAGTCATTACAGTATTAATAGCTGCAACAACCAGAAAAAACTTTTTAAACTAATGCTGTTCAAGGCACTACATTTGGATTTTTTTTATAAAAACAAAAATACCAAAATGTAATAAAATAGCGTAAAAATTCATTATAAGTTAGTTTAAAATTAAAAAAAAAAAAGTTCTAAATTACATAACATAAATATTATTCACTGTTTATAAAAAACCTACCTAGACTATACTGATATACTTCAACTGGTCTATTAAATAGCTCAGTAATTGCCTGAATCTCAAGGTGATTACCATGACACGAATCCATTCTCTTGCGGTTGATATATGTAGTAAAATCTTCAGTGACATACTGAGAGTAAAAGTCTGCATTCTTTGACTAAAATAAAATAATTTAAGAAAAAAAGCTGAATTTTCACTCAAAACATTTTTAAAAACTGTGAATGAATTATTATAAAAATAATAATTTAATTGACAGCTAAAGATAACAATGTAAGGTAAATACCATATAATCAAGACAATGTTTCCTAACAGTGCTGTGCATTTCCTGGTCCCCATAAACTTGATCAGCTAAAGAAGATAACATTTTTGTTGAAATTATGTGTCTATCTTCAACACAGTAGTAAAATAGCAATAGGGGGAAAAAAACAATTAATACATAGTGTCACACTATATACTAGACTTTAGTCACAGGGAATTAGAATATAAAAGCTTCATTGAACTAATTGTACACTAACACTATTTCTAAAAACAAACAATTGTATGAAATCTTCTTACCAACTGCCCTAAATAGGCAAGCTCCATCCTCACCCATTTTTTTAATGATAAACCCCTTCTTTTCTTTCAAAGCTTTTTCAAACCATTGTTCTAGCTAGAAATATTAGTTATTAAAAAAAAGTTAAGTTTATTAATGGTTTCAGATAGAAAAAAGGGATGCAGCAATAAAATTTTAGGCCTAATGTCGATGTTTAGTTAAAATGTTTAAATTAGTACATCACTGTTTAGAATAGAGAATACAAGAGTCTTTTATTAAAATATATGCATATAAAATATATATAATATAGATCTATTTTATATGTGTACCCAGAAACCAATTATTGTAAATACAAATTTAAAATTTTTAAAACATATTTTAACCTTGACACAGGAAAAATTCAAATGTAGGCCTTATGGCACTATCATATTACCATTCAATTTTTAGAAACAAAATGACACTTATTTTTTCTTTAATTCAGACACAAAATGTGAAATAAAATTATCTTTTTTCTTATAGTTTTTTATTCAATTTATTTAGAAAGGTTAGTAGCTGAGTTGATTCTATTATACAAATTCTGCAACATGGTATTAACCAAATCTGTTTTGAATTTGTCGATGCTCAAATAGTGATGTAGACTTCACAAACAAAATGTGAAGTAACCTATCCTGACCCGTCAGTCAAAAGTCACCTGTTTTTGTAACTTCTACAAATTTGATGTGTGATCAGCAATATGCACAGCTTTTTCAACTGTCCCAGACATATTATTTAGTGAATACTCAACCATCCCATAAACCAAGCAATATTAGGCCCAAAATGTAATTATTATTGTGACTAGGTCTAGCTAAACAAACGCCAATAGAACAGTTAACCAATACATGAGTATTGAAAATCAGACCACATTGATTTTGTGATAATCTTTACTGAAAAATAATTGTTAATTTTTGTAACATAAAACCCTAAAACTATCACTTAAAATAGGCAACAATAAGTAATCTGCACTAATGAATTTGTCAAAAGGATTGAAAAAAAAGTGATTTTAATTAAAACTTTCTAAAAAGAAAAAGAAAGCATAGGCTAAATAAAATTACAAAAATAAAACAATTCATAAAACAACTTATAAAGTAATATAAAGAAATGTATAATAAGGCCTAGGCCCATTTATAAAATTGTATGTTGGAATGTTGGTACTACTACATCTAGTAGAATATAGGCCTATTTAACATTTATTTTAGCAGCTGAGGCTTAATGACTTGAATTTTATCAAGTGTTCTGCTAGTTACAAGTAGATAATAGATACTTACTCAGTTGAAGTTGCTATGTTGCGCTTACCTGAACTATAGCTGTCAGACCTAGATCTAGCAGGCAAATGTGTTTTTAAATTTTAACCATAGGTCCATAGTACTTTACTATTACAAGAATACAAACCTCATTGATATTTTCAGGAGCAGGAGGTGGTGGATTATGTTCTTCCTCACTGTTATAGTCTTCATCACAGTCTTCAACATTTCCAGCTAAAATTGGTATATTATTTGTGTTATTTGAAACATTAGTTGCGGCTGGGATCACAGAAGAAGCATGGTTGTTGCGATGTTTACGTACTGTTCTATGAGGAGATGAGCGGTGCCTCCTCTTGTGGTTTGATGGTGCATCATGTCCATCAAACTCATATGAGACATTTGCAGAAAGAGTTTGGGTCAATACAGGATGAGAATGTGACAGGTCATCACGACTTGATGTTGAGGGTAGCCATCGAGTTGGAGAAGTTCTTACTCGAGGCGTCTTTTCAAGTCTATTTTCTGAGCTAGTACCATGGTGATAGTGAGTAAGGCCATGCGTATGTGCAAGACCATGTGCATGATTGATTGAATGACCATGTCCAACTGCTGTATGAGAATCAGCTGTTTCTGTGTCATTTTTTTCTTTAGCAACCTTCTTTTTCGGTTTGATGGTCATTGTTTGTAATACTGCTGGTCTCTAAAAATGAGCCCAGAAAAAAATGGTTACAGGACCTCTCCACCTTCCTTCACTAATCAGGTTGGTCACCACTTCTCCTCATTAAACAAAACACGAATAGAAGCTAAACAGCCTCGGAAGAATTTGGAAACCGATTACACGAAATGTATAGCAAAACTGTTAAAGCGTATGGCGTCTACACCGTGACGTAATTTTTTTCTATTTACAATCGACAGCGCCATCAAAAGGGCAGATCACTCTGAAATTGTAATAGTGAATAGCAATGACCTTTGACATTAGAAAGTTAACGATTAATAACAAAGTGTAATGATAAAAAGAAAAAGGAATTATAATTACAGTATGTGATTACGTTAAACAAATAAATAAACTCACCTAGAACAAAAGGAAATTTATTGATTAATTTTTGATAATTATCCTTAGTCTCTTCACAACGCCATGGGCATCGGTGGTCTAGTGGTAGAATACTCGCCTGCCACGCGGGTGACCCGGGTTCGATTCCCGGTCGATGCAACTTTTTTTTTACTTCAAGGCAAACTCGATTTAAAACCAATTAATTTTTACAAGCTATTTCTTAGTCAAAACTACCAACGACTAAACGGCTCCGTCAAGGGAACCCGACAAAACGGCCCTGACACGAGAGTCCTGTCAAATCGACCCCGTCAAAAGGGTCAGCGACAAATGAACGCCGTCATGTAGGTTTCCGACAAAAGGGCTTCAGTCAATAAGGCTCCCGAAAAATAGGCTCCCGTCATATAGGCTCCCGCCAATATGTAGTGAGCCCATTTGTCGGGAGCCAATTTGCGGTGAGCCCTAATGTCGCAAGCATATATGTCGCCAGTCAATCTGATGGGAGCCCATTTGACGGGAGCCAATATGTCGAGGCTATTTTGACTCGGTCGTTTTGTTGAGGGTCGATCTGACGGGGTTATATTGACGGGACCCGTTTTGACGGGGCCGTTTTGTCCCGGGCCGTGCACCAGGGGGGATGGTTTGATTTAAAATTTGACCATACACTTTTGCATTTTAAAATTTAATGTTGGAAACTGAATTATATCCGTTATGTCGTGTTTTTAATTATTTTTTTTTGTTAATTTTTAATAAAAATTAATGAATATTAAGTCATGTATTCGATGTTGACCGTGCTCAGAGAATATATTTAAAAAGAACTACAATATTGAAGGGAGTGTGTGTGTGATGGAGTTTCTCAGAAATTTTCCCGACGCCGCCGCCATACATTTCTGGATGATACTAACGGAGCATAGGGAAAATTTTTGGACAATTTTTTTATCTCCCTCCTTCCCCCGTCACACATCGTCATAAAAGCCCCCCCCCCCCCTCCACCCAAATCACGTCACACACCAGCCTACAATCTACCCCTCCCTTAAAAATTGCTGTTTTATTTTTTTAAACATCGATTTATTTCGAAAACGTCGACTAAGCTCGGCCAACATTGAGTATATTTTCAAAAACCTGAAATAACGGTTAAATTGAAGTTTCTAACAATATTTTTTTTTTTAAATCCAAAAGTGTGACGTCACCCTATCTGAATCCCCCCTCCCCCCGTCATCACACATCGTCAAAAAATTACAACTCACATCATCAGACGTAGGCAAAAAATTACAAATACCCCCCTCCCCTCGTCGTCCCCCCTTTCCTGGAGTGTGACGCTATACATTTTTGAAATTTAGAGCAGAGGCGTAGCGATCCTTCCCGGCGCCCGGGGACAAACTTTCGATTTGCACCCCCCCTCAAACTTTTGATTTGCAACCCCCTCTCACACTTTTGATTTGCACCCCCCCCCTTCAAACTTTCGATTTGCACCCCCCCCACATCCTCAAACGTTCGATAACTTTTTCCAACCCATTTTGGCGCCCCCTAAGGTCGGCACCCAGGGACATATGTCCCCCGGGTTTCCCCCCCCCCCCTTTGCCACGCCTCTGATTAAGAGTGGTGTTTGTGGGGGAAAGAAATGTTTATACAAGTGACATCAAAGATCCTATCTTTGCCTTATATTTAGTATATAGGCCTACATTATCCCTTATAGTAAACCAGTGGCCAGCATGGCTCCGGGCAAGGGGGGGGGGGGCGAATGTCCCAAAGTAACAGTGATAACCAATCTGTGTAACGTAGTTGTGTCCCCGTCCTGTTGACCAGAAAAGGCCATACAGCAACAAGGGGCTTCCGTACAGAGGCGTAGCGATGGGGGGGGGGGTACATATGTCCCATAACGCCTACCCTAGGGGGCGCCAATATGGGTCGAAAAAAATTGAAAGCTCATTTTAGCTGCAGTTTTGCATTATAAATATAAAAAATATATGAGAGGGGGGCGCAAAATTGAAAGTTTGTCTCCGGTTGGGGGGCGCGAAATTGAAAGTTTGTCCCCGGGCGCCGGGAAAGGTCGCTACGCCTCTGCTTCCGCATGTTGTAAACCACGACCCTACTTTAGTTTAAATCTCCACATGAGTTGGGAGTGGGAGGGGCAGGTGGGAGTGGGGTAGATTTTCATTGTATGTTCTTCTGGAGTAGTCTGTGGTCAGCTAAAATATTAAGTGGGATTTGATCTCACGTCCATAGCGTCAACAAATGGGATGATTGTACATCAACCACGGCGCTACTGTGACACTTACTATATGATTTGTTTAAAAATTAGTTCGTGGTTTAAAATATATCTAATCAATCCTGTAATTAAACTAAGCTTTGGACCAGATGTAACTGAATGAGTTCTTTGGCCCCCTTTTATATTCTCGCGCACGGGCATTCGTTTGCTCACTCGTTCACACAACAGATCTAATGGCTCGTTTGTTCTGTAGCAAAAAGTACCACTTTTCATTATGACCGACGACGAGGTTTAAAAATATCGAGGGAAGAATCCTGTGTTTATTTCTTGAAAATGTAAGGCTGTGTGGGTTGTTGCGAAGGAAGCTAGAGTAGGTCTATACTATACATAGCGCCTTTTGGTGAGTAGATTATATAGTGCAGGCATATAGGCTACTATACATGGACTTTTTAAAGTGAGTAGATTAGCTAGTGTAAATATACGTTATGTATATATGTATATGTATGGCATATTTTAGTGAAGAGATAAGCTAGTGTGGGCCTATACTATACATGACACCTTTCAGTGAGTAGATTAGCTACTGTATGCCTATACTAAACAGGGACTTCTTTTAATGTGTAGAATATAGCTCCAGTGATCGAAATGTTAAGGTAACTTTTGTATCTTGAATTCAAAGTAAATTTTGAGTGTAACTAGCATTTTGTATATATTCATCGTTGTAAGTAAATATTTAATGTGACTCGTATTTTGTATTTCTTTATCGTTGTATTGTAATAAACCAGGTCATAAAAATGTCTATACATAACAGGTAAACATAATGGTAAAACCTTATAAACGTAAGCCACAAAGCCAGGATACTAATCGCTGGGTGGATTCCTAAAGCCAGGTATAGTGGCAGAAGAGTTGGGTGGATTCTTAGAGCCAGGTATAATGGCAGCTGAGCTGGGTGGATTCTTAGAGCCAGGTATAGTGGCGGAAAAAGTTGGGTGGATTCTCAGAACCAGGTATAGTGGCAGAAGAGTTGGTGGATTCTTAGAGCTACGTATAATCGAAGCAGAGCTGGGTGGATTCTTAGAGCCAGTATATAATGGCAACATTTGGGTGGATTCCTAGAACCATGTATATTGGCACCAAAGTTGGGTGGATTATTAGAGCCAGGTACATATGAGTAGCAGCAAAGTAGAATGGATTCTTAGAGCCAGGTATAGTGGCACCAGTCCGGTTAACTCTTAACATCTAGCCGCGATGGGTAATGAGTGTTGCGTAATTTTAAAAAAGAGGCTGAAATTTCTAGTCTCATAAAAATTAAATAAAAAAAAAAGGGGTGGAGGTGGGAGGTGGGAAGGGGTATGGATGCACCCCCCCCCCCTTCCATTCATCTATAAACTAGATAAACGCCTATGCCGAGGTGGAATGTCGATAAAAATAAGCCTACTGTGTTATCTCCTATTGTCTATACACCAATGATAAGTCCAGTGGTTATCAAAGATATGTTTGTGTCGCAGCATAAATAGTTTCAGCCACGTTTGTTTGTTGTTCCGACCGCCAAACAAGAGGCCTTTACACGTCTTTCTATCAAGCAGTGTTAGCCAATGGGATATTTAAAATATGGTAGATCTAGTCTGTTTCATTAAATAAACTTTCGGAGTTTTCACACGGTAAGTTTTCAAAAATGTTTTAGTTACAGAATCTTTTCTTTTAGTACACTTATAAGGATAATTATTATCTTTACATTGGCTTTTGACAATACACTGTTGTCTGTTTGACTTTTCTTAGAAAAAAAGGAGAAAGGAGTTGTTATCGAGATTTAATGATAGACTCTCCTGTATGTTGCGTTGATTACAAAATTACAATCTAACACGTTTTGGTAAATGTGGAAATAGACACAATTCAAAAAATAATATTCCATTTTTGAGTACTTTGTTCGTACTCCCCCCCCCCACCCCACCCCCGAAAGTCTCGAGTTTGATTCTCAAACTTGATTGCGTAGGAGGTCCTTGAATCCACCCAGCCAAAATGGATACCTGACTAAGGTTAAAGAAAGTAAAAAAAAAAGGCTCGACATAGCACTGATCACGTTATTTCTTTCATATACTGATGTCAGGGGAACAAGTGAACTCTATTTCATCTACCCTATTGACCATCATGTCCAAAACTGTCATCTCCTCTTTATTTTTGAAAGCACTCGCTAATGATATCCAATTGATGAAATGAATGGAATTTGTAATGAAGTATATTGATTGTATCATCAGGTAAACACAGCGAGGAGACCCATCATATCCCTCCTCTACCAACTCAAGGTAACGGGAAGCGGTGAAATCCCATAATGCACGTGCTTAGGCGAGAGTTCCAAGTCCGCAAGATCTTCTACACGTATCTCAATGAGAGGGTTTTCTACTGTTGCCAGGTTGGTTGTGGGCCTTTACTTGACTAATGTTTGGTTGTGGGCCTTTACTTGACTAGTGTTTGGTTGTAGTCAGTTTGGTTGTAGGTTTACCATAGTTGTTTGTACGTTTTCCATAGTTGTTTGTAGGTTTACCATAGTTGTTTGTAGGATTACCATAGTAGTTTGTAGATTTCTACTACTGAGTAAAATAAGATTTTGTGTTTGAGATCCTTTGCTGTTCTATTGTAGCATGATGCTAAAATCCTAAATATGAGGGGATCAAGGTGGTTTTACGCTTTTATATTTCTATACGTGATAGATATACACTAGTACTACATGAATATGGCACTAACTCAATTCAAAAAGTGGATATCTGTTGTTTATCCCGTGTGGTTTTCACATGGTTACCACGTCTCCGGGCGACCAATGAAAGGCGTGATGGTATCTCCTCCAGAAATGGCCGATAACAACAAGTGTGCTTGAATAACAGTTGGGCGCAGCCCGAATTTTATTTTTAGCGGGGCAGATCTATTAGGACATGCAATAGACGAGACTCTAATTAAGTGTTCAAATGTTTCCTGACACCTAATTACTTCACTTGTGTCAGTGAAGAGTGTTTATTGCTACATTAGTAGGCAGTTTAGTAGTTCCGGTAGTCACGTTACGCCTGTTGATCGATACCGGTGGTATGTGCGTCCTTGGCAACAAGCATAGGGGTTTGGCCCAGTGGCGTACCGAGGTCGGGTGTCACCCGGTGCGGCACTTAATGGTGTCACCCCCCAGAGGCGTAGCGACCCTTCCCGGGGACAAACTTTCAAGTTTTCGATTTGCACCCCCCCCCCCCTCAAACTTTCGATTTGCACCCCCCTCCCTCAAGTTTTTCTCTATATATTTTGCTATTTTTTGCCTTGGTGTCACCCCCCTAAATGGTGTCACCCGGTGCGGTCCGCACCCCCGCCCCCCCCCCTCGCTACGCCCCTGGTTTGGCCATCAGGGTTAAAATACTCTCACTTCACTAAAATATTTACTGAGCCGCAGTGAATATTAAGCCTACGGTTTATGTCTAATACTTTAAGCAGGAGTCACTACACTCAAACCTCTTACAAAAACCACTTTTGTATTCTTGCAAACTGTTTTAAGCATCCTATTGAAAAACGTCTCCTCTGTTATTCATTCAAAGGACTACTATCGTCTGCTTCCGGGGTTGCCAGGTGTTGACCTCTAGAAGAAAGGGTCATTGTGTATTACAGGCATCTCCTCCCTCCCTCTGGGGTACTTTCACCTCCCTCCCATGTAAATAGAATATATATATATATATATATATATATATATATATATATATATATATATATACACACTAAATGTATACAGTAATTATATACTTTTACCAGTACCCCTCACCTCGGAGAAAAAATTGTGAAAGAAACCATGAAAGCAGTGATACAAACTGTTAATCCTTAATCTCTATAACGAGTTAGGAAGTCATATACTCTGTCTATATATATATATATATATATATATATATATATATATATATATATATATATATATATATATATATATATATATATATGAAATCACCAATAATAGTTAAATGTTCGCCTATAATATATAATTCACATGTATTTATTTTCTTTGCAGTGGAGATGGCCTCGTCCGGTCTTTGTCATTATTCGTGTGGCTCTCTGCCTTTACACGACGTATGGCTTTATTCATTTAATTGTCGACACGTACACAGCCACAGAGGACACCGCAAAAGTTGAAAACTACCTGAATCATACAAGTGGACCACAAGAAGATAGCTTGAATGACTTACCGATGTTTGTCTACTTTACGGTGTGGTCGTACTTCCTGCTCATGGTTCACATGACGTTAGCGGCCATTTTGGTCATTGTGTTTTATAAGTACGTTTTTTTAAATTTAAAAATAAATAGCTAATTTTTTTGCCCCACCATAATCAATCTCACTTAATTAATGAAGTTTTTCTTTCTTTCGTCATGGGAATGCAGTTTATCGACAATGCCTAGTTGCCAAAGCCTAAACGCGCGCTTAATTGTTGCAGGGGAGGTAATTCTGCTAGTATCTGCTGAGGATCTTAGCCGATAAATAAAGCTAAAGTACTAACACAAGTAAATCAAGGGCGTATTCAGGATTTTGGCGTAGGTGGAGGCGGGAGTACACTGGGATAGTTCCTCATAATATACCTTAGAGAATCAGTGCCCTCGACTCCACCAGGGGGGGGGGGGGGGGGGGGCTGATGGCGAATTGTAAATTTCCGGGTGTGGGACGACGACAACGACACTGATTAAAGTAAATATTATCTATATAAACAATGTTTTTTTTAATTCGTCGCAAGTGGGGGAGGAGGGGGGGGGGGAAATAGTGACCCCTTCATTGATGCCTGAGATAAATAGTGCCTTTAACTGAGTAATCAAGGTGGTGGCCACTTTAAAATTCCGGGGGTAGTGGGGCACTATTTTCTATAGGTAAAAGCTATATTTTTTGTTCAGTTTCGTCGCGTGGGAGCGGTGGTTCGGACTGCAATCCTTATCGTCCCCGCTTTCAACGTGTGAATTTAAACGAAATTCAACATTTATATACTTCTGTTGAAATCCCACTGGGTGGTCTCATAGTGTGAATGTACCCGAGAGTAACATCCCTTTGTTGAGTGTAGACCAATCAACTGATAATAATATTCTCTTGCTGTCTGATAAAAAACACAGGTGTTATGTAATATATTGGATGCTCTAACACTAATCTCGGTCATGTAAAAATAGCTGACATGAATTTAACCCGACATCGATAAGATTAATGTAATTAAACAATGAGAGTGGGTGATGTATCATACACAAGTGCAGGCCCTCTATTTTTGGATTACCTAACTGATTATTTATCATACGTGCCTAGTCGTGTCAGACACTGACCTCCCATTGCATGTGCCCATACAATTAGTAGCCTACATATTTTGTTCAGGTTTTCTACATACAGTGGCGTAGCGACCCCTCCCGGCGCCCGGGGACACACTTTCAATTTGGCGCCCCCCCCCCCATATATTTTTTATATTTGTAACAACATGTATTCTTTGTTGTTGTGGGTTAGCTTTCATACAGGAACCCGAGCAACAGTGGCAACTTGAAATGACAACTTTATTTACACTATGTACAGATAAATCCGTGGTACATCCATATTTGAAGATCAACTGATATAGGTACAAATAATAATCACGACTCCAAGTCATGGAGACATCTTACATTCACTGCCCTCGTTCCAGTCCCAAGTCCTAGCACACAACACCCGTTCACCTTTTTGCTCTTCTTTTATTCACCCCTTTCTCTCCCCTTACGTCAATGAGCGATCTCACCCAAAACACGGAAAAACACATGACGATCGCTCAGACAGTCCTTCCGCTAGCCAGGTACTCTTCATTCATGCAAAACACAATATAATAAAGATACATAATAATACAGTCTGTGACACGTCCCCCCTTCGAATAAAATTTTGTGTAACAAAATTTATAAATACAATATTAGTAGGGCAGGATCATGTGCCAGACAACAAAATTTATAAATACAGTATTGGTAGGGCAGGATCATGTGCCAGACAACAAAAAATTGTGTACAACTCAAAGTAGAGTAAAATATATTCATTTTAGACTAAGCACTTGTAGTCATAAATTTATAGTGCATACAAATACAACAGTATGTAGTGACTATATCAGTGATAATTAAAATATGTCAGTGTTTTGAACAAAAACTTTAAATGTACAAGCATTATATTTAATATTTAATGCATCAATATACATTCACATAGGAGGAAAAAATATTTCAATTACCCAATAACTGTAGTATAAACAAGACAAATGAGTTTAATAAATTACCAAACGAGTCTGGTACATGACCTTATTACCAAACATAATACATAGTTGAAATTATCAAAGACTTAATTCAACTCCTAATTTAAATAACTATATCCTATGTGGTAACAAAAAACTTCCTTATCATCAAGGTATGTTATTACCACGCATGAGTAATATACTTTGTTGTCTCCCCTATTTGACCCATTTCAGTCATATCTAGGTCACAACACAACCACATTCCTGCCTTTCACAGGTATTGACTAATACACAATTCAATTCATCATTGAGACTTCCGTCTTATTGTTATGCGGAATAAATAATCTCTAACTTTTACTTTATACATTATTCCCTGTTAATTAATAGTATAGAATAGGTTTAACATAATACAGTTTACATTCTTTAGATATAGTACACAATTTCTGTTTACTCAAACACATTATTTGATATTTATATATTACAGTTACAGACTGTATAATATTAATATACTGTCAATTGATAATTTAATCTTAGCATCCTCTATAGCATGAGTAATCGTTCTCGTGCAGTTGACGATGACCTGTATGCCATCTCTCCCTCAAATTGTAGCTTTTAGCTGTGCTACCATAATCATTTCCTAGATTTCGTGTAACTTGTGTTACTTCATTTGTTTTAATATTCTCCTCTGGTTTCTGAACAACGTCAGTAGTTATCTTGCTTTGTGTACGTTCGTTTGGTTCATCAACCAACTTAATATAAATATTATGGCATTGCTTTGGCCTCTCATAATATGTGTTGCGTCGGTAACTTCCATTAGTATACCTATTCACACTTTTGTTATTCTGATTTGAACTTGATACATTATTCCTTAAATTACTGTATTTCTCACATGACTTTCTGTGTACATAATTTTTTCTTCTCTGATTTGCCAACCTATGCCAACATTGATTTTGGTAATGACCTGTTTTTCCGCAGTAAAAACATCTAGATTTTGGCTTCTTATAAACATGGTGACTGTATTCATAGTTTGCTAAATTTCTTTTTCTTTCATTCTGTGCATCAATGACATTAATGACATTCTTATTAACATGGTGACTGTATTCAAAGTTTGCTACATTTCTTTTACTTTCATTCTGTGCATTTTTATTAACATTGTAGTTTGTAGATATTTTTTCATCTTTCTTAACTTCCTTGTGCTTCTTTATTGATTCTAGTTCACACATAAATTTCTGGGTTAATTTCTCCATTTCTTTGTTAAATTTATCCTTGAGTTCTAGTATATCTTCTTTATAGTTTGACTCCAATTTTCGAAGTAAATCTTCAATAGGTACGTTCTCTTCATTGTGGCTTATTAAGTTCACTGATTCATTAATCATCATTAGTTTATCATGATTCCTGCCATTCTCCGATGGACTTATTAAATCATCACTGCCATTGACTGATGGGCTTATTAAATCATTTTGACTGCCATTCACTGATGGACTTATTTCTTGTTTACTACCATTATCTGATGGACTTATTTCTTGTTGACTGCCATTCTCTGATGGACTTACGATACAACTTTCAATAATATTCTCGTGTACCTGCGTTTGAGTCAATAAAGAGTCAATCTTAAGACATTCTAATGTATCTGTCACCTTTAAATCATTATTAAGTTCAACCTCTGTTTTTTCCTTGGGTTTCAATTCTTCCTGGACTATGTTACTTAGTTCTTCATTCCAAAGGTTGCCAATATTTACTTCTTCAAGTTCTGCTTTAAATTCTGTCTGTTCACTTTCTAATTTTGGTTCATTTGTGTCTATTATAGCTTTCATTTCTAATAGTTCTTGTTCATATGCTAGTTCATGTAGGCCTACTTGTTTTTCCATAGTTTCAGCCCTATTATCTGCTCTCTGTTTTCTGTTTCTTTTTTTTTTCTTTCCTTTTGGTTGTACAGTCTCCTCTGCTTTATCTACTTCTGAAATGTCTTCTTCTTTATGCATGTCTGTAATAGCTCTTGATCTATTACACACTATTTCTATCACATCATCTAGTTCTCTCAATACATTTCCATGAGCTCGTCGGGGTTGTTCTGGTACTTCGTCCCATGCTTCTTTTGCTTCTTCTATGTCTTTTTCAAGTCGATTGGTTGCCCAGGCTATCTGCTTATTCATCTTCTTAATGCCTTGCGCCCTCGCTAGTGCTAGATATTCTTCAAAACATGACATTTTGATATATTTTCTATTTATGACATAAAATATAAATTCATTAGTTGACAATAGATAAATGTTAATTAATTTACAATACCCTTTCTTGTATTCTGGCTTTGTTCAGTTGATTAGAGACATCTAGTAATCCAAGAAAAGTTCATAGTACATATATAGTACAAAAATAGTTCACTTTGTTGATTCCAAAAAGTTGAAAAAAATTCAAAATAGTTCTAGTAGCCTGTTACAGAGTAGAAATTTGTCCAGTTTTAGATAAGACATCTTTAGGAACAGTTACAAAAATAAACTTGATCTGCTAAATCCAAACAGTAGAAAAACTTGAACAGCTAATCCATATAGAAAAAACTTGAACAGCTAAATCCAAACAGTAGAAAAGAAACACTAAGACTTGATCGGCTAAATCCAAACAGAAAAAACACACAGACGATATTTACTCGACATTGGTGAGACAATATCGAAATAAGGTGATAAAAATTATCACGTTGATGACTTGACTTGAACAAAACGTCTGACTTGACTACAGCAACCCTTCTGACTTGAGTGAAGATAGATGACTTTCAAGAACTTGACGTACTTGGTAAACAGTGGAAGACCACAGACTGTAATATCTCCATTTCTGACATATGTAGCACCAATTCTTCAACCACTTGTGACATCATAAGTAACAGTAATACAATGTAGCAACATCACTTTATTGCCTCCACTTCTGACAGTAGACGCTCACTTCTGACACCATATGTAACAACATGTATTCTTTGTTGTTGTGGGTTAGCTTTCATACAGGAACCCGAGCAACAGTGGCAACTTGAAATGACAACTTTATTTACACTATGTACAGATAAATCCGTGGTACATCCATATTTGAAGATCAACTGATATAGGTACAAATAATAATCACGACTCCAAGTCATGGAGACATCTTACATTCACTGCCCTCGTTCCAGTCCCAAGTCCTAGCACACAACACCCGTTCACCTTTTTGCTCTTCTTTTATTCACCCCTTTCTCTCCCCTTACGTCAATGAGCGATCTCACCCAAAACACGGAAAAACACATGACGATCGCTCAGACAGTCCTTCCGCTAGCCAGGTACTCTTCATTCATGCAAAACACAATATAATAAAGATACATAATAATACAGTCTGTGACAATATTTATAATTCAAAATAGCAGCTAAAATGAGCTTATTTTGGCACCTCTAGGGTCGGCTCCCGGGAACATATGTACCCCCCCCCGTCGCTACGCCTCTGTCTACATATGTTCACCATACGCCCCCTTTTCTTTATTTCCAGGCGGGCAGAGGCAGACGTCACAAAACTCAAACTACGACCAGTCAGCATCTGTGAAATTACATCAAACAACCAAACCGAACTGGAAACTAAAAACCCCGCGAACAAAAACAGTTTTACCGCCCAAACTGAGGAGATTAACAACATTGTCGACAAAGTCTATGTCCCGGTAGATGGCAGCAAAGAAAACAACGACAGAACGCTTTCTTCAAGTGAAAGCCAACAGGAACCGACAACACAAGCTGACCCCAAACGTCGACTGTCCGCGTATGAATCTTTTCGGAGATTCCACAAAGACAGCGTTTCTCTGCACACCAAAATCTATTTTAAGATTTCCTGGTGCTTGTCTGATGTGGTTAGCGTGTCCGCGCCAATTGTCACCATCATCTTCTTCTGCGCCCTCTATCCTCAGATGAAAAGTACCACTTCCGGTTTATTGGACATTCAAAACACAAACGTCCACGCACTCAATTTTGTATTCGTAATTATAGATCACATGATCAGTGCTCGACCAATCAGATTGCTCCATTGTTTATCCCCTTTAATATACGGTGCTATTTACATAGTATTTTCAGTAATCTACTGGTCATTCGATAAAAACAGGCATATTATATACCCTGGGGTTTTGGATTGGAATAAACCAGGGGTGGCTGTGCCTGTCGCCCTCGGGCTAGCTGTTGTGGCTATACCTTTACTACAGTTGGCATACTTTGGTATGTACCGAGCCAAATGTGTCATCCACAAAAAACTATACGATTGTTCTTTTAACGGCGACTTGGATTAAAGACAACACATCCGTTTACACTGCTTAAACAATGTTGATTTAGTTTGTAAAGTTATATATTTGTAGTTATCTACACACGCAAGCTGCTCAATGTTTTGAAGCTTAGACTACACACTTCAACAGAAGTCAGGATGTAGGCTATCAATCATTGCCTCACAGTGACCAGCGTTGTTGTCAGCTGACTTTTAAAATGTCTTACTTACTTGAAACTTTGAAAACGGAACAAAAGATAACTATTTACCAACATATATGTTTTGTATTTTTAAAAAGCTCTTAATGTCTACGGAGCTGAGATGCTCAGCTTTCAATCCTTCCAATATATCGCAATTTAAATGACTATTGGCAGAAAAGAAATACGTTAAATGTATATATCATAAATATATCATATCATATTATATACAGTTTGGTAACGTCTTTGTTCCTGTGAATGGTTTAGGGGTGGTCATAAATGACGTCAAACTCGGAGGGGGGAGGTCCGTAATTTTGTGACGGTGTGTGATGAGGGGGAGGGGGGGGGGGGGTTCAGATGGTTTGATGTCACACTTCTGCAATATAAAAAAGCAAAGTTAGAAAACGAGTTTTAGCCGTTATTTCGCGTTTTAGAAAACGGTTTTTATAAATTGTAATAGGAATTAAAATACTCTATGTTGACAGAGCTCAGACACGATTTTGGAAAAAATATCAATGTTTTAAGAAAAATTCAACTATAATTTTGAGGGGGGTTGTAGGCTGAGATGTGACGTCATTTTAGGGGTGGGGTCTGGCTTTTTGTGACGAGGGGAAGATGGGGGGGGGGGGGGGGGGGCGAGGTACAACTCGTCAAAAAAAGCGTGACATCATTTATGGATGACCCCCTTAGTAAGTTATTGACATCTTGGTTCCAGTAAATGGTTTTGGTAGCCTTTAGACGTCTTTGTTCACGTAAGAACGGCCCTAAACCACCATTCAGTCTGTTGAAAGTATTAAATCATTAACGAACCACAGATCAGTCTCTGTAAAAATACTTTACTCTTGCACAGTGCCACAGCTATTTACCTCGAACTTCAGGAAAAATCGCGTGAAGGCCAATACGAAATTATTGTTACTATTTCATTTTTTGTAACGTTTATCAACCTCACGTATTTGACAAAAACAGTATTTTTTAAACATGTTATAGCCTACATAGTATTTTTGTGTAAGCTTTTTGTGTTATGAATATATATTTTATTTAAATAAATAAAATTTAAACTTAAAGCTGAAACAGATTTTGTTATTTTAATGTTTTCCTGTGGACCTGTGAGGGGGGGGGGGGGGGGGGGAGGGCACCCCTCACCCAAAGAGTGGCCTGTAAGAAACACTGACAGTTACACATTGTCAATTAAACAAAAAACATACTTCCCCCATTATCCAAAAATTATATGATAAACAGTGTTGTTCCAGACTTTTTTCTAGGGGGGGGGGGGGGGGGGGAGGAACTTGAAATTTTCGGGGGTGGGGGAGAATAAATTTTCCGGGGGGTGGACACTGTTAAAAGAATATATGTTTTTAAATAAATTCCATGCCTGGAAGAAACTCTGTATGTAACATGTTCCGCACATTTCATAAACATCCCTCATGTAGCACCTTGTCTCACGTCTACGGAAATCACAAGGTGTGTGACGTAATGTATGGACAACGTTACTGTTTACGTCCACTAAAGACAACATACATTTGTCAATAAAATTACCAGGAATGAAGCCCTTTTGGCCTTACAAATAAGAAGTCAAACTTCGTATCAGATAGCTGGTTTTGGACTTTCCCTTGGAAAAACAACATTGGGGCCTCTGATCTTTTTACCTAAACAATTTTAATTATTAGTATAACCACAACTCGTACTGGGCTAAACGTAAATAGATTTCATATATCTGAAGCTTTTTGTGCCTCCTCAAGCATTGGTCAGAGCCTCCTCACAGTTTGTGGACCGCTGGAAGGCCTACAAAATATTATTGTATTAAGCAAACTAAAGGAAATAACAAACACATTATAGATCTCAATATAAAGCAAATATCGAGTTATTAATACAATTTATGCTGCCATTACCCATATTTTATGTTCACTCATTAAAAAACCAACTAACAAGTTGAAGTTTACTGATGTCATCAACATTTCTTAGAGACTTTCGAATTATCATAATATAGTCTTGGAGAGACATACCACTTCCGGTTACCGGAAATCACTCAAAAAGTTGACAGAAAACTACACATTTGACATGATCCTTAGTTAAGAAATTTCGTCAGCCTAACTGAAACGGTACCTAAGGTATAGTGTTCACATACACACACAGACAGACTTACAAACAATATTGCAAAAGTAAATTTTCCTGCTTGTGGAGGTGTAAAACATCGAGAATTGTAAAAATCTTGATTTTGATGTTTTGCACGACTGCATCTCGTATATTAATTATTACGAGCCGGCCCGCGGCATAACATACGACGCTATTTAGTTGTTTCTAATTTTCAATAATTCATAATTTGTGAATTCGACAGTACCAACGCTGACACTGAAAATATTTCTTTAAAACACTATAAGTAGCTCGTTAAGGACCATAACCCCCCCCCTTCCTTCCCCCCCCCCCTCCCCCCCCTACGTTTAAAATCGTTGGCTCTGCTTGTAAACATTTAGAGTGAACACAGCTCACTAAAACCATGTAGGGGTGGGGAGGTAGGGAAGAGAATTATATATATAGATAATAATTAAGAAAGTAAAAAAAAAGATAATTGATGTGCAATAAAAATGTCTACAATTATTGTTAGAAAAGATTACAATATAATTTTTAAAATGTGTTTTACTGCCAATACACATGCTACACGTATATTTTCTTTTATTACTAAAAAAAGCAATTGATTGCAACAAGTGAATAATTTAAAAAAAAATGTGATACAAAGCTTAGCAGTAAAAAATTTCAATATAGACTACATGAATCAGCAATTAATAAATCGAGTTTTGCGAAACTACGCGTCAGTATATTTAGCTCATTGAAACACAATAATTTCACCCGGAAGTGAAAGCTTTGTATCAATGGCTACTCCCGGTAGTCTCACTATGAATTCTGAACTTGTAGATCAGTTTATGGCTGTTACGGGTTGGTTATTTCGTTAACCTATTAATATTCCTTTTAGTTTTTTTTATTTTAGATTTATACTTTATATGTAACAAATTCCGACAAACATATTGATTTAAAAAATCAAAAGAAAATAGAATGGCTCAAATCCTGTCTGACGTCTGTCAGCTGTGTCTCCTCTCTTGTTTTTTTTACTGACCAGTTCTCTACTTCTTAGGCCTACTTCAGACTTGCTTCTTAACTGTTGTCTGTTACTTCTTGTCTAGAATATAGTCATCTAATCTAAATTTGATTAAGATCTACTGCTGAAATTTTCTGATCTGTTGCCATTTTGTGACTTGGTCCCTGTGTTATATAACTCAAACTGGGTTCTATAATCTTAAATAATCTATAGGCCTATCATTCTATTATTAGATTTTCTTACTAAATCTAGAATTTACCCAAATTTCAAATTAAACATGACTACTGAATGATAGACATCCATATTTAATCCATTAGGGACTAATTTTGAAGTTTTTAGTTCGTTTTAAACTAAATTACTTAATTTAATATTTATTGACACTCACTGCCATGGACAACACATCTCTCCATGACAACTCTTCTTACCCCTGAAGGCACTTGAAGCTAAAGAGAACCACAAATGCGGTTAGACTTTTTAAGTGGCCATGTACCCAGAGTTCCCCACTAGTGATCATCAAATAGCGGTCACGTGGTCAAAAAAATAAAAAAAATTTGGTTGTCATTTTTTGGCCACTCTTATTAAAAAAAGGGTTGAAGATATTTGATTTATTTTTTCATAGAATGATAAAACTAATAATGCTTTACTAGGGAAATCAATTTTGTGATAGGGAGATCTATATTTAAAAAGTTATATTATTTTGAATGACACCGACTTTAAATTTAGCCTACATTCCCCAAAGCAATTTCTGAAAATGCTTTTCTGGCATATTTAGCCTTGCCACCTATAGCATGTTTTTATAACGTGAAAATCCGCCATTTTACTCGTGATAAACATTTTTAAAAATAATTCTAAGAAGGTCTCTGGAACTAAGTCGAAAAACTCGCCGGAAGTCATGGTCCAATCCTTACGCCATGTTCTGGTTAGCAACCAAGGACGCTTTTAAGTTAGTGAGCCTCCCTACTATTATCATGTTTACCACAGTTATGCAGTGAGAGGGTAGAACTACCTGATCCAATATTATATTTCAGTACCACTACCATTTCATTATGTCTAGCCATGCAACAGTGCATCTTGAGACACGACATCAATAATCAATGCTTACAAATGATTTGACAGAATGACATTTGTTACTAATTCCATTTATTGCACTATAGAAATAGACATCGGACAGCTTGAACAAACAATACTAAAACTGGACATCCTAACCCTAACATAACACGAACAAGACTAACTAAAGCTTCTTCCCCGGCAACAACGAACTCACACTAAAACGTCACTTTCTTGCGTACCGCGTCACACTTTCACTTGTTCAGTATTATCGCTTCGCACCAGCATTCATGCGCACCAATTTCCCTAGTCGAGCATGCATCATAACAGTCCCCTTCATTTTCATCTTGCATTGAACCTATGTCCTGACATTGACTACTACAGTACTACATTGTTTATAATAATATTTTATTAATAAACAATCTTTACAGTCAAACCTTAGCCTTAAGCTAAAATTTTAGCATAGTTTAGTGACTTTAAGTTACTTATAGATCTAGTACAAGTTGCTGCAAACAAATTCAAATCTGTCCCTCCCAGTGTCCCCAAAGTCTTAGCTAGTCTTATCGGCACACATTTCAACGCAGGCGCTATAACCCATAACTGGCTCTATACCCCCCTTGTAGTCTTCTAGGCATTTTTTTTTTTTGCTAGTGCTAGCAGGAAATTTGGTGGTCATGCGGTTGCACTTTGAACAGCTTGGTGGGTTCAGAGTTCAACACTCTTGGGATCCTTAATTATAATATTGCATTTAACATTTTATCCACACTCTAACTAACTAGCTTAGCAGCAGATTAGAAATGACCTCAGGACAATTGAATGACTTAATTCTTGGTGTCAGTTTTGAAAATGTGACTTTTTTTATTTTTAAATTTAAATATCAAGTAAAATGTTTTTTTCCCTTGAAATGTCCTTATCAATACTTTAAAGCTGAGCAGCAGCTCATTTTGATCTCTTTGTATCCCCATTCTAAGATATTAGAACATAGAACAAATCTACAGAAATTTTTTATAAGTAAATTGTTTCAATTTGAGAAAAATCTGATTAAAAATTCTATTATTGCCGACTTCATTGTAATGTTACAATCTTTATTCTTCTACATGTTAGATCTTTGTATCAAGCAAAATAAAAACTATTTGTTTAATTCTACTTTGGAATTATTATAAATTGATCTTGGCAGTATTATAAAACCATTGTTACATTCAAAAGTTTTTTGAATTTTTAGAAAATGGTACATTTAATTTAATATTCTAATTGATTAATTTTCAACAGGAGCTGCTCGTAATATAGCTATAAATCTTCTAGAAGCATGTTCCGGAAATTTAGATCTTGCTGTGGGTATGCATATTGACAGTGGAGGGGCTGGACCATCTAACAGAGACAGGGATGATGGTTTGCATGCTGTATCTGATGAAAGGTAATATTAAGATAAAATTAAGATAAAACATTCTTCCTCTAGACATATATACACTTTAGTTAAACAGCTAACACTGTTACATAATTCTCTAGGCTACTGCAATACAATTTTTGTTTATTATGTATTAACATTCTGAAATTGCTTTTTTCCAGGGATGATGTTAGAGCTCCTATCCCACAGAGAACTGAAGTATTAGTTGAAGAAGACACAAGCAAAATAGGTTAATTTATTTTGTTAATTTATTTCTTACTAGAATACAGTTAGAATACAGTTTGGAGGTAATAGTTAATACTACAAAGTTTTACATTCTTTTACAATTTATTTTGATGACTAAATGTTTTTTTTTCATATTGCATCTTTAATTATTGTACAGCCAATTGGAGAATGAGAAGACCCAGGCGACAAGCACCTTCTGTATTTGATGGCTTTAGAGATTTTCAGTCTGAGGCCTGTAAGTTTAAACATCCTTATATTAATTTAATTGCTTTATATGGAGGATTGAAGGGTGGTTAAATTACCTACACTATAAATTTGTTAGTAACTGTATGTAGTAATCAGGGGACTACTTTGTCTAGCAGTTAAACTAACACGGAGTGGTCTAGCGGTAGAGAGCTGGACTACTAACCAGTAAGTCGAGTTCAAATCCGGGTTAAATTCAGTAGATCGTCCTGAGTCAACCCAACTCTGATGGGTACCTAACTGACTTTAGGGAAAGTAAAGGCGGCTGGGCATAGTGCTGGCCCCACTATCTCTTCATATGCCGAGGTAACAGAAACAAGTGAACTCTACTTCACGTGCCCCATAGACCGCCAGGTTTGAAAGGAAACTTTAAGCTAGCAACATATTATTTTGATTGAATGGTGCAATACAACAGTTGATGTTTAATAACTTTTCATTTTTGTATAGATCATTATGATGAAACATTAAAGGGAAAGAAAGCATCAAAAAAGAGAAATTTGGAAGATTTATATCGCCCTCCTGTTGACATCACATATAAAGGAACATTTCAAAATGTAAGCTGTTAGATAAGAAAATTCAGATCAAAATAGTTTCTGTTTTTGTTAAATTGTTGAATTTGTTTGTCTATATGTTTGTTGTAGAATTCATAACATTTTCATAAAGTAAGCAAGAAGTATCATTTGTTAAAAAAAAAGGCTCTTGATTTTAAAAAAAAGTTGATTTTGTATGTAATAGCTCCTAAAATTATTTTTAAAGGTAAGAGATGCTGGGTCAGTCCAAAACAAATGGTTGCTAGTCAATGTACAAAATGTACAAGAATTTCCTTGCCAGTTACTCAACAGAGATGTCTGGAGTAATACAGAGGCCCGCAATATCATCAAGGAAAATTTTCTTTTCTGGCAGGTTTGTTGTCAGCTTTTTTAAATTGAGATTAAGATAAGCAACCAGGAAATGTTTTGACATGGGTGAATGTTGTCATTAATATCTAAATATGATTGATTTTTACATTTCAGTAGTGTTTTGTGATCAGGCTGCAAATAGACTCGTATCGCTCTCCCTGTTTAGTTAAAAACTACACATTATGTAGGCCTACATATAATGATTTGGGATGGCGTGGCCTAGCTGTAAAGTGCTAGACTGCTAACCCAAAAGTCTCAAATTAAAATCCATGTTCAAGGTAGTAGATCATCCCTCAGTCCACCCAGTTCTGATGGGCACTTAACCGACATTAGGGAAAGTAAAGGTGGCCGGGCGTAGTGCTGACCACACTATCCCTGTATATGTCGAGGTTACAGAAACAGGTGAACTCTACTTGCTCCAAGGACCTTTAGGTTGAAAAAAGGAACTATACTATACATATAATAATTGTAATTGAATATACTTCACAATGATATACAACTTTTAGTAAAGATTCATTATTCAAAACAGATCATGTTCTTAAATTTAGACAAGAAAAAATAATCAACTTTTCTTTGAAAAAAAAATGTACTTTATGGAAAAATTTATAATAAATTTTCAAGTAATTTTCTTAAATAAGCAAAAGTACATTACATTTTATACTCAGAAATGGATTAGATTAGTATTAAAATTAATCCTTTTTTCACTAACATTATGCACGAACATATCTGTTCAGATGTGGTAACTGAATGCAAATGTTTAATAAATGCTGTTTTGCAATTGCTTTAACAAGCAATTTCTAAAAATACAGTCAACTGTATGGAACATTTGCAAAAAGTAAACTCAATCTAAGTTAACAACTACAGTTATATCAGTACTTAAAAATATGATTAAAACTTTTATCCAGCAAAACAATATAATCAAATGCTAGGAGCATTGTACTTATCTAAAAGAAAGTATGCAATGACACTAATTTTATCTTTAAGGTATACAATGACAGTGAAGAAGGCAAGCGTTTCATGCAGTTTTACAAGTTAAAACAATGGCCTCATGTTGCTGTCATTGATCCATTTACAGGTGAGTAGTTTGCTAGTTCTAGGAATTGGCAACAAAAAACCAATCATTATTGTAACACAGTTTACATACAAATTATTAGCCCAAATTGCATTAAAAAGAAATCAATAAGTTGAATTAACAATGCTTATGAATGTAAAACTTTTAAACACTCCATGTATTGATACTTAGCTGTTCTAAGAGGAATGGGGATTTTTAAGAGTAACACAGAATTAAAAATCTACCTTTGCATTGAAATTTTGTGGCTACATTGTTCATTAATAAACTAATGTTAGAAATGAGAATGGAACATACGAAATGTACTTATTCGTTTTTTTTTTATAATCAGGAGAAAGTCAAGTTGTATGGAACAAAATATCAGATGGGACTGTTTTTTGTGAAATTGGTACGTTAATTGTGATATTTCATTATTTTTGAGTGTCTGATAATAGCTAATTCTTTTTATTGAACACTTATGCTATTTTTTAAAACCTGACACTTAAAACATAAGCTTTGTCAGCTTTCTTGTGTCCTATTAAATTTTTTTTTTTTATTGCAATTCAACTTTTTTCTGTTTAATGTGTTGCAGCTAAAGATTTTCTTGCCTCCTGTCCAGTACCTGACACTAGTATTGCATCACCTCCAATTAAAAGATCTAAAAGAGTAAAACAATACATTATTTTATAATCATTCTATAGTAGCTAACAAAATTTCACCTAGAAATAACTTAAATGAAAAACACTTTTTGTAATTTCTTATACTTAAACAGTAGTGTATTAACTTAAAATCTTTAAAAATTTAGGAACCATCTATTGTTGATGCCAGCGAACAGGAACAGATGGAAGCAGCAATTAAAGCATCCTTATGTGAAATACCTCGCCCACCCAGTTCTCCACAGTATATATTAGATTCAGACTCCGAACTGGATAATGACTCTGATTCTGATGATGTCATAATGTCTACACCCCCTGGGTCATCCAATGGCCATAGCTCATCAAAACATGAACGTTTAAAGCAGTTATCTCCATCTGCTACAAACAATTTGTCTTATGCTCAGCCGGAGAAATTTGAAGCATTAAAAGTGACTGGCCCTGCAGATAAATTACAGGACAGTCATCGCCCGCTTCAAGTAGACACATCACATGAAGACCCATGGGATATATTAGGCGGTTCATCCAGGCAGCAAGCAGCTCAAGGTGTCAGTGTGTCAGAGAACTCATGGAAAAAATATTGGGGACATCCCTCAGGTAGGTTTTGTTTTTACAGTAACAGATACTTAGCTTGGACCACTGGATAGTTTTACTGTAGATTATCTGCTTGGTTAATATTTAAACACGTTTATGAAAATTTTTGATGCGGTTCATAAATTTTATTTAATTTCTTAAAAAAAGGAACTAGCATATGTATATTTTAAACTTTTGTTTAAAAAGTTATTTTTGTTCTAGGTGTAATGAGTCGAAAGATATTTAAAAACATATTAACATTAATCATCAAATTTTGTATTGAATTAGTTAACATTTAGCCTAGCTATGAATACATGTCATGCACTTTTCATGCGTAGATCCACCAAGTCGAATTATGATGAGATTTCCAGAAAATAAAAAAGAGCAGATTGAATTGCCATCTTCTTCCCAACTCAAAGTAAGGTTTTTACTTATTGTTTCATTTTTTAATAATTATTTTATCATTAATTAATATTTAGATAATTTCATTATTTTATTTTCAACTAGCTTATTTAAAATCTTACTTTTTATATATTCTAGGCTTTAACTGAACTTTGCAATGCCAAAGGTTTCCCATCTGATAAGTATGAACTTGTGACAAATTTTCCTCGACGCAAACTGTCTCAGATGGACAGCACAACAACTTTAAAGGATGCTGGTCTTTTCCCTCAAGAAACTGTGTTTGTGCAGGATTTGTGATGGGTGCCCTGTTTAAATGGCCATAGAGAGACTAAAGAATTCAGTTCACTAGGTGGAGTGAAACAAACATAATTGTACATGTGTACACTTCGTTTAAAGAGGTCCATCATTACATGTGTACACAACAGATAAATTATTAACTAAAGAAAAAACCTGGATATTTTTATGTATTGGGATACAAACTTCACTGGTATCAATACAATGTATATATGTATTTATATAAAATATTTCAAACTACAAAAGATACAGTTATAGTTATAAGTTCATGAATGCATGTGAAATACAATATGAATGTCTTCATTTTCACTCCTTATTTATGTTCATCCCCAACTTGAACAGTTGTCCTGCCACTTCCTCTAGTGTCACTTAACTCAGGTTACATTCACATTAACTTTAAAAACATGTTTAGCTCCATTTATCTTTGTTTATGATATATTGGGCTCAGTTTTGCTGATTATCCTGACAGAGATGTATATGATACTACTATTAACTGACATTATTATTGCGTTGTTTCAATATTTTAATGCTGTGGACATATTGGTGCTACTTATGTTCCTTAATAATTGTGAGTTGCAAATCAAAAACTAGCTGTCACTAATCCTTACTATATGTGAGTTTTGTTTAATGCACCATACTCAAGCATTATTTCTAGGGAAAGTTTTTTTTTAAAGGTTGTAATCAAGATCTTTGTTAAATAGCTGAGACGGTTTTTATATCAAACATCTGCCCTTGTTCTCGCAACATTTCAAAATAACTAACATCGATAATTTATGGGGGCTTAAGGGGAGTGAAGAAATAGTTTACATGACACTAGGATTTGTATTAGGTTAAATATTAACTTGTTTACACTTTTTTTGAATTTATTCTATAATTCTACCACAATTATATGGGCGAACAGCTGAAATTTTACTGTGTTGTTTTTGTTTCCTTTTTATTTTCAATTATGTTGTGATGAGTACCTGATCAATACTTTGAAGCCATGTAAATATTTTAGAAACCTACTTAAAGAATATCTATGATATTTTTACCCAAGGCCTTCAAAAACATGTAAAAACTTTTTTCATGCACAGAAAAATAAGAGATTAATAATTAAAATTTTTTTTCTTTAAAGAGGTTTCAAGAGTGACCAATGCTTTTATTAGAATATCTTAAAAAAGTTAATTTTACTATTGTGCAAATTAAAATGTATTAGTTTTTAAAAAATTATTTAGCAGTTAGGAATTAAAAAAATATAATACAATATTTAAATTTTAAAATCAATAATTACAGTAGTTATCATTCTTTATTGAGTCACCACTCCACATATCTTAAAATGTTAGCTTAAAAACTACAGTAGCTTACAATATATAACTGAGTATGACTATAACCAGTATAATCTGTCGAGTAATAGCAGTCTTAACTCTCAGATTAAAAAAAACATTTAACTTGAAGTCAAGATCACCTGTCTTATCTAATGTTTGTTAGTATTTAACCATCTTTAGTTACTGAAAATAGTTATTTTCAAATTAGCGTCTGATTATATTTAATATCTAATTAGAGGGATAATGAGATATTCTTGTGTTGTCATGGGAGATTCTAAGGTGCACTTTTCTGTACGTGTTTGAAAGAAACACTCCATTAGACAGGTTATGTTTGACCACAAACCCACACATGGACATGCATTGTTAAAAAGAAAAAGGCTTAAACAATAAATTGTGTTTGAAAGGATATATTTATTGTAAATGAATTATGCATATACTAGTAAATGTGTCAGAATACCCATCAATTTAGTTATTGTGTTTAACTATATTTTAAGCTGTCTGCAGAAACAATAATGAGTTAAAAAACAACAAAAGTAGTTGAATATATAGTTATTTTTATTTCGGCAAAAATGGGCATTCATTTAGACCTGAACACTGTAATGTTGGCATCAGTTTAATTTTCTGCTATTTCCTGATTTCCAGGTAGAAATAGTAGTATGCATTTTCAATTTTTATAAGTTGTTCATTCATATCTCCACTATCACTTTCTTTATATATCATTCACTTACCATTTTGTTTTACATTTACTGAATATAAAAAAAAAATATGTAAACAAGCAATAATAATAAAATATGCAACTTGCAAGTATATTTAAACAATCTCATGGGGAAGCAATTTTATTTGGACCCACAAGTCTATTCACTTAAATATTCAGCTCTGGAACCCACCCCACCCATCAGAATTTGAGAAACAAAGACCCGGGATAAAACAAAGATTTTCTTACATTAATAACAGCCAGAAAAAACATTCTAAGAAAGGTCTATAAATAGCTTCCAAAAGAGAAGGTAATCTATTTTTGTGCGCTGAGCAAAATATTTTCTCAGTAGTCCCCCTTTGTCCAACAAAAATGTACGGGCTACTAAATCTAAATAATCTCACCGTCTTAGTGCCATTCACACATTACCGATTGCACTTGAACACGAAATTATTGAATATTATGTTTGCTATGTGAGAGTTATTTCAGTCATCTCTTTTCGGAGTGGGGGAAAAAGATATCCTTTAAAACCGGTGGCCATCCACCCCTGAAATACAAATGCCCCCCCCCCCCCCCCCCGGAGAAAAAAGCTCTGCAAGAAGCAATGTCAAGCACTGAAAGGCGGACTGGCAAAAATAATCTTAACGGAGTTAATGTTATATAATGTTTTACTTTGGTACTTTTTTCTTCTTTTTTGTTTAAGAAAGGTTGAATAAAAAAATACGTTACCCCTAGCCTAAACATTCATTCTTTTAATTTCTTAATACAAGGCAATGCAACATACAATAGTGGATGAACACGAAATAAAGGTTGTAAATCCCATTATTTTTGTAGTAAAAAGTGTCATTGTAGTAGAGGGTGGGGGTAATGTTGGGGGTAGGGGATGGTCCGTATACGATTTTAAAAGTTCATGATGGGCCCTTATAATAGATGGGTCCTCGGAAGATACTCCGCTGACTCTGCTGTGCCCGCGATTTTAGCAACACATTGACATTTGTGTGTAACTAGTTGATGTTCTATCACACATGGACATTTGTGTGTGACTAGTTGATGTTCTATCACACATGGACATTTGTGTGTGACTAGTTGATGTTCTATCCCACATGGACATTTGTGTGTGACTAGTTGATGTTCTATCACACATGGACATTTGTGTGTGACTAGTTGATGTTCTATCACACATGGACATTTGTGTGTGACTAGTTGGTGTTCTATCACACATGGACATTTGTGTGTGACTAGTTGATGTTCTACCACACATGGACATTTGTGTGTGACTAGTTGGTGTTCTATCACACAGTGTGTGTGACTAGTTGATGTCCTATCACACATGGACATTTGTGTGTGACTAGTTGGTGTTCTATCACACATGGACATTTGTGTGTGACTAGTTGATGTTCTATCACACAGTGTGTGACTAGTTGATGTTCTACCACACATGGACATTTGTGTGTGACTAGTTGATGTTCTATCACACATGGACATTTGTGTGTGACTAGTTGATGTTCTATCACACAGTGTGTGTGACTAGTTGATGTTCTACCACACATGGACATTTGTGTGTGACTAGTTGATGTTCTATCACACATGGTCATTTGTGTGTGACTAGTTGATGTTCTACCACACATGGACATTTGTGTGTGACTAGTTGATGTTCTATCACACAGTGTGTGTGACTAGTTGATGTTCTATCACACATGGACATTTGTGTGTGACTAGTTGATGTTCTATCACACATGGACTTTTGTGTGTGACTAGTTGATGTTCTATCACACAGTGTGTGTGACTAGTTGATGTTCTATCACACATGGACATTTGTGTGTGACTAGTTGATGTTCTACCACACAGTGTGTGTGACTAGTTGATGTTCTATCACACATGGACATTTGTGTGTGACTAGTTGATGTTCTATCACACAGTGTGTGTGACTAGTTGATGTTCTATCACACATGGACATTTGTGTGTGACTAGTTGATGTTCTACCACACATGGACATTTGTGTGTGACTAGTTGATGTTCTATCACACAGTGTGTGTGACTAGTTGATGTTCTACCACACATGGACTTTTTGTGTGTGACTAGTTGATGTTCTATCACACAGTGTGTGTGACTAGTTGATGTTCTATCACACATGGACATTTGTGTGTGACTAGTTGATGTTCTATCCCACATGGACATTTGTGTGTGACTAGTTGATGTTCTACCACACAGTGTGTGTGACTAGTTGATGTTCTACCACACATGGACATTTGTGTGTGACTAGTTGATGTTCTATCACACAGTGTGTGTGACTAGTTGATGTTCTATCACACATGGACATTTGTGTGTGACTAGTTGATGTTCTACCACACAGTGTGTGTGACTAGTTGATGTTCTATCACACATGGACATTTGTGTGTGACTAGTTGATGTTCTACCACACAGTGTGTGTGACTAGTTGATGTTCTATCACACATGGACATTTGTGTGTGACTAGTTGATGTTCTATCACACAGTGTGTGTGACTAGTTGATGTTCTATCACACATGGACATTTGTGTGTGACTAGTTGATGTTCTACCACACATGGACATTTGTGTGTGACTAGTTGATGTTCTATCACACAGTGTGTGTGACTAGTTGATGTTCTACCACACATGGACATTTGTGTGTGACTAGTTGATGTTCTATCACACAGTGTGTGTGACTAGTTGATGTTCTATCACACATGGACATTTGTGTGTGACTAGTTGATGTTCTATCACACATGGACATTTGTGTGTGACTAGTTGATGTTCTACCACACAGTGTGTGTGACTAGTTGATGTTCTACCACACATGGACATTTGTGTGTGACTAGTTGATGTTCTATCACACAGTGTGTGTGACTAGTTGATGTTCTATCACACATGGACATTTGTGTGTGACTAGTTGATTTTCTACCACACAGTGTGTGTGACTAGTTGATGTTCTATCACACATGGACATTTGTGTGTGACTAGTTGATGTTCTACCACACAGTGTGTGTGACTAGTTGATGTTCTATCACACATGGACATTTGTGTGTGACTAGTTGATGTTCTACCACACAGTGTGTGTGACTAGTTGATGTTCTACCACACATGGACATTTGTGTGTGACTAGTTGATGTTCTATCACACATGGACATTTGTGTGTGACTAATTGATGTTCTATCACACATGGACATTTGTGTGTGACTAGTTGATGTTCTACCACACATGGACATTTGTGTGTGACTAGTTGATGTTCTATCACACAGTGTGTGTGACTAGTTGATGTTCTATCACACATGGACATTTGTGTGTGACTAGTTGATGTTCTACCACACATGGACATTTGTGTGTGACTAGTTGATGTTCTATCACACAGTGTGTGTGACTAGTTGATGTTCTATCACACATGGACATTTGTGTGTGACTAGTTGATGTTCTACCACACAGTGTGTGTGACTAGTTGATGTTCTATCACACATGGACATTTGTGTGTGACTAGTTGATGTTCTACCACACAGTGTGTGTGACTAGTTGATGTTCTACCACACAGTGTGTGTGACTAGTTGATGTTCTATAACACATGGACATTTGTGTGTGACTAGTTGATGTTCTATCACACAGTGTGTGTGACTATTTGATGTTGTATCGCACATGTGGGGGGGGGGGGGGAACTAGTTGATATTCTATAACACATGGACAGTGTCCGAACGTTGTCCATTTTGTATGTGTGTGTGGGGGGGGGGGGGAACTAGTTGATATTCTATAACACATGGACAGTGTCCTAACGTTTCCATTTTGTGTGTGTGTGTGTGTGTTGGGGGGGGGGGGTAACTTTGACTAGTTGGTGTTCTATTATATTGACACAGTGTCCTAACGCTACCCACTGGCAGAGTGGGGTTAGGGAAGGGGTGTGGGTAGGACA